ACGATGTGTTTCATCGTGACGGTGAAAACCGTCGTGTTTCATCGTAGTGTATGGAGCCCTTTAAGGGCCCCATACACTACGTTTTCATCGCCGCGATGAAACACGTCGTTCCAAAACCGAAGTGTGTGGTAGAAAAACACGACGGTTTTCTACCACACACTTCGGTTCTGGAACGACGTGTTTCATCGTGACGATTAAAACCGTCGTGTTTCATCGTAGTGTATGGGGCCCTTTAAAGAAATTGCTTTTGAAAAACAACAGCAAGGCAATCATCAAAGTAAAATCACCGACTTCTTCCAAGCGGTGCAGAAAAATGTAGAAGAAGGTGGACAAAATTCAAATGATGAAAATAATGTAAACGAAAGTTGGAACAATATTGACTAGTTATTTTCACACTTATGTATATGCACTGTATGTAGAATTATTTTTTTCATTTGTCTTAATAATAATAATAATAATAATAATAAAATTCTTTATTTGCTCAAATACAATAAAATGTTTAGCATTGTCAACGACTATATAAGTGAACAAATACAGTACAGATATAACTTCAAAAGATAGAAGACACAATTCAACAATAAGTAGTAATAAATTAAACAATAATAAGTGATGATACAAAACAAACAATTATTATGACAAACATATTGTTTTCCTATCTATAATTGACATAGAATTCTTCCAAAGTGTAAGGAGACAATTCTAAAAGTAACTTTTTTATTCTATTTTTGAACATAATAGGAGGCAGAGCTTTGATCTCAGGTGCCAGGCAGTTATAAAATTTTATGCTGTTATTAATGTAAGTTTTATGAGTTAGTGTTAGTCGGTGTTGGTAAATTAATAAGTCTTCACCATGTCTAGTCAGGTAGTGATGTCTGCTATTGACTGTTAAGAATTCAGATATATGTGCTCTTGTGTAGTTGAGGCACTGGTATATGAACATACCTGGTAGGGTCAGTATTTGGAGATCACGAAAAAAAGGTCTGCAGCTTTCAGTTGGTTTCAGTCTTCCAATCGTTCTGATGGCTTTTTTTTGGATTTTAAAAACTTTTGGCCAGTCAACAGAACATCCCCAGAAAAGCAGGCCGTATGACAGCCTAGATTGGAAGAGTCCCATATAGGCTGCACGGGATACTTCAATTGGGGTGATAGGTGCGATTCTGCGAAGAAGATAAAGGGTACAGGAGAGACTCTTAGAAAGTTGGATAATGTGGTTTTTCCAGGTCAGTCTGCTCTCGAACTGGACCCCCAGGAATTTAAGGGCCTTGGCCTCCTCTCTTTCTTTTAGGGAGAAGGTTATGGTTTTGGTTTTATCAAGGTTCAAACAGAGATTGTTGTCAGCGAACTATGTGTGAAGTTTCTTAATGGTGGAAACACATGCAGGATGAAGCTGGGCAGTGTTGCAATGGTGGTCAAGGAGGGTTGTATCATCTGCGTACTGTATTGTTTTCAATTCTGGAAAAATAGATGGAAGTTCATTCACATATAGAATGAATAGTAATGGCCCTAGTATGGATCCCTGTGGTACACCTGCAACAACAGGCAGCACCGAAGACCTCTTACCATCAAGTAGCGGTCTGAAAGATATGACTCAATTATATGCAGTGTGTTGCCTCTAATGCCATAGTAGCCCAGCTTGTTTAGTAGTATCTGGTGTGACACACAGTCGAACGCCTTCGAGAGGTCACAGAAGATGGCCATAACCGACTCTGCCCCCTCGAAGCATCCAACTATATGCTCCACCAGGGCTCTTATTGCATCTGTTGTAGATTTTTTTTTACGAAAACCAAACTGATGGCTGGACAGCAGCTTACTCTTTTCTAAAAATATGGTTAAACGATTGTTTAGGCTGATCTCAATTGGTTTTGACAAGGCCGGTACCACAGAAATCGGTCTATGGTTTCCAGGGTCATTTGCATCCCCTTTTTTGAAAATAGGTACTACCCTACTGGTTTTCAACTTACTTGGGAAATTCCCACCCTCAAAGCATCTGTTTATAATTATGGAAAGGGGAAGGGCAAGTCCTTCCGCGAGTTGCTTCAAGATTTTGTTGCTTAGACCAAAGACATCCTTTGCTTTGCTGTCGCTCATGCAACTCAGGATACTTACTACCTCTGCAGGTGTTACTGGAGATAAAAAAACTGTATAGTTATTGTGAATAAATGTAGAGGTTAATTCTGAAGGGTCAGCACCAGATCTTTGAAGATTGGCTGATATGGTGTTTGGAATGTTTATAAAGAACTTGTTGAACTCCTCTGGAGAGATTGTGGGAGGTGGATTCGAATTTTCCTTGTTACGAGAAGCTTTTATAATATCCCATATAGCTTTGGGTTTATTAGTATTGTTTAATATGTTGTTGGAAAAAAAATTGACTTTTGCCTTATTTATTTCTGACCTATACAGTTGTTTTTGTCGTTTTATTGCTTCAGAACAGTTGACGTTCGGATTTTGTTTATCAAAAGCTGTAAGAAAGTTTAGTGTGTCTCTGTGGTACTTTAGCTCATTACTGAACCATTTCTTGTCACTATTGCTACTGTGACATGTTTTAGTTTTTTGTGGGAAATAGAACTCAAAGACATCCAAAAAAATGCCCAAGAAAGTGTTAAAAGTATTGTCTGTATCTAGTTCGTATAAGAGTGAAGCCCAATCAGTATTTTTTAAAGCACCAATACAAGAAACTATATTGTCAGGACAAATGGGTCTGAATTTAATAATGTTGGTGTGATTGTTGAAAATATTTTTTGTTTGATGCTTATAGGTATTAATGATTGCCATGTGATCTGACAAGTAAGAATCCCATAGTGACCAAAGGGGTTCAATTTCTGTGTTTGTGATACAGTTATCTAAGCAGCTGCTTTTTGTTGTTTTCGATATTCTAGTTGGTTTGTCAATTAGTGTTTTTAGACCATAAGAGTTTAACAGTTGCACAAACTCAAGTGAAGCCTGATCAACTGAGAGCAAATCCACATTAAAATCTCCATAGATAAATAGTGTTGTCTTTTTTTGAGTAAGAAATTCTAGAGTTTTTTCAAGCAGTTCAAAAAATATGTCTAATTGGCCACTTGGTGATCTATAAATGCATACAATAATAATATGTGGATTTAAAATTTCAATTGCTGCGATTTCGCAGTGTTTTTCGATTGAAATATCATTGATAAAAGTAATTTCTTTGCATGTATATTTACTTTTTAAATGAATTAAGGCTCCTCCTCCTCCTGACAGGGATCGACAGAAGTGGCTGGCTAGATTGTAGCCCGGCAGTTTGTAGCTTTCCATTGCTGTTTCGGGCAGCCAATGTTCGCAAAGCAAGACAGCGTCAAAGTGTTTGCCTTCAATTTGAAGTTCCAACTCATCAAGCTTTTTTGACAAGCTGCGTATGTTCAAAAACATTGCATGGAATTCCTCTTGTGCATGGACCTTGGATTGTGCTTGTTTTCTTCTTGGTTCTTTCTTTGATGTTTCTGGTTCGTTGCTATTATGGCTTTTCAAAAATGTTGGCTATTCTGAGGGCTGTATTTAGATTGGAGTCTGAAATCGTACCTCTTGATACCCACATCTTTAGGCCAGAAATTTGGCTTATACATTTCTTCTTTTTTAGCAAATGGTGCTGTTACAAGGAAGCATTTATTTTTAGTTACATCGGTGGGAAGTTCAGATACCTGGATGTTCGTTGTATCAAATCCAGGTTTTTTTAGGATGTAGTCCTGTATTTGAGTAGGTGCGACGGTCCTTTGCACTCGATACAAATAGATCCATACTCTTTTTTCAACCCCCATAAATCCATTTGAGGTTTCAGAGGTGCCTAGGGTTTTTGGGATTGTGCTTGTTTTTCAAATAAATATAAAGCTTTTTTTGCTTAAATATAGCATGTTATATTTTTAAAATAGTTTTAAGAGCGGACTGTAAAATGCTTTAGTAATCCGAATAATTCGATAATCCGGATTGGTCTGGTTTTAATTGATCCGGATTATCGCGACACTACTGTATTAGGAATAGGTCGGGATATAAAGCTTTATTTTCTGCACACATCATATTCTAAATACTATAGTGCACCATATCTTATTTAGCAGGGGTAGGAAGATAGGGAGGATTTTCTCTACAGCAAGGATTATTGCTGTGCCTGTAAGGGTTTCTTTTATTTATTTGTACCCACATTAAATTGTGAATATTTGTGTACATTGTGAACTATTTCTGAATAAATAAATAAATAAATAATTGACAGAAAACTGTACTAGGTAATCCTGGATCCTAAATTGTATATCTTTGAATATTGGGGTTGTTTTACTTTGTTAAGATTGTTAGTAGGTTTCACATGTATGTAACCTGTATTTTTATATTAAGTATCTGTAAATGGCTCTCCAAATAACAAAACAATAATTTACCAAATCATACAGTTAGTTGTGTGATAAAATTAAATAAATAATTAAAAGAAATTAATGGCCAAAACCTTCTTAGCGGTAGTTTAGTGTGAAGAAACCACAAACGTTCGATGACTCATATTAATAGGTATTGGCTGATATCTCTTTTCCCGAAGCAAAAGAATTGATGAATAAATACCTGTGTAAGGTGAAAATTAATTATTGATGAATTAAAAATAATAACAATGAGCCTGGATATAATGATATAATAATAAAAGAAGGGCCTTGAAGGTTTATAAGAGAAAAAGGTTCCTTATAAGGTGAATTATAAACGATAAAAGGTAACCAGAGGATGACCTCTAAAGGGTTAGCATGAAAATTTTAACGATTTTTCCCATAAAACTAGGAAAAGTTAACCTAAATATTATCCTCTAGATAAGGCCTGTCGGGTTTCGAATTTCCTCTTGCGCTAATTAAGTCGATTTCCACAATTTTTTAAACCGTATATTTACCAGGCCAAGTGAAAGCTGTCACAGGAGCACACTTTCGGGACTTTTCAGACAAAGATTTTGCACTTTTAACGAGGGCGACCGCTAATAAGGGCCGGCTAAACGTACGGCCGAGTTTCTATAGTACAAAACTCACCCATAAAACAGTCCTTTTCACTGAAATTCAACGAAAAATCACACACACACCTCAAAAAAGCATACTTTCCGAGTTTCACAAGATGGCCAGACGATCGGGACTTTGCAATGTTGCCAAACCAGGCTCTCTGTGTCTTAAGCAACAAATGTCAAACATTTATATTTGAAACAGAAATCTTCAATTAATTTGTTTTATTTTACATTAACTTTAACAACTTTTTGCAATAATTCATCTCCATGAAAAAAAATACAAAACTAAATAATAAAATCAATTAAAATAATTTTCAACGGCTTTGAAACTTAGGAGCTTGTTTGAAGTTTGGCAACATGCCAATGAGGGAAATCCCAACGAATCAAGCTGAGACCTACGAAAAGTTGGTTACTTTTAACTTGTTCAAGGCTTTTGGGTAAGACGTAGGTCGTTAACCAATGACGTCATTGACAAAGTGATTTAGCGACTGCGTATATAGCGTTTTCTTTTGGGATAGCAAAAATATAAATAATTTATTATTAATTCAATAATGCATTGGGTAACTGGCCTATTTTTATTACTTATTTATTAGTAATTATTATTCGAGATTAATAAAACATAATTTTATTTACAGCTTGTTAATTCCTAATCTAATCTTGCATGAAAATTAATTTTTTATCATCACAACCGCAACGTTGGCTCAAATCAATAATAATTGATTAATCTATTTTATGTATAATAAAAATATAATTATTATGACTGCTCAACATTTTTAACTATTAACATTCAGTCTACTGGAGTATATATCTTACTGCCAAATTAGGGAAATTGTGGACAATCTGGCAACTCACCCTGATGATGACTAAAAAACAAGTCAATGGAATTGTGAACGACGCCCTATAAAACGGAATCGGACGTCTAGTGAATAGTGATAAATAAAACGTCAAGAACGAGTTTCTGAGCCAATAAATATGTTCTGAGTGTCTCTCTGAGTTTCCGGATCGTAGCTTGTTGTTGGTTTGGTTTGTCTCAGAAATTCGCTAGTTGAACTTTTCTTAATAATTCTCAGAAACAGAAGTACTTCTTAAACATTTTAGTATGTTGGAGCATCCACCAAGCTGTCAGGCATTTTCTCTACAATGACTATTTTTCTCAATAGAGGACGGTATACTTCCTAATTTTGAATGGGAATATAAAAGTAAGCCGCCATATTCTTCCTCATATTCACTATGAATATATTATAGGATTGTAAACAGCAATTAGTCTGCACTGTGGCTAATTGAGTCACTGTAATTCTCCAGTAAATTTCAACGTTGTTCTCAGTCAAGAGTTCTCGATTACTTATAATGAAATGCTCTGATGCTTTCGTTTAGGACTAAAGTGGACTCAATCCCTAGTTAAAATTAGCAAGAATATGGCGGCGGGACCTCTATTGTTGCCACATGTTTGAAATGCTATTGAGTCACTGTAGTTTTGTCATCATAGAGAATTGGCAACTCTGTAATGTCATTTGACAAATTTAAATTTGAAATTAAAAGTTAGGTTATGTATGTTTTGTTGTTGTTGTTACTTTTCCATTATTTTTCCAATATTGCCTACGTTTTAAAATTTGAATAATTTAATTAGAAAAATGTTCATGTAAGACCTCTAAGAGACCATCTCTTAATAACCAGTATTAAAGTAAGCAAACTTAAAAGTTAAATGGAAACTGAAAAAGTCTCCATCCCTAGATATAGGGGCTCCCGTTTAAATAAAGTTAAAAAAATGGATATATTCCCTAAAGTGGAAGACCCTTATAAAATGACTTCATCTGTTGGTGGCACATGTAAGTAATAATGATAATTATTTCAAGAATTTAGCGAAGGGTAAACTGCCAATGTATTCCAGTGTACTTACAAGCACAGCTTACAAGTCTCATGTAATCCCATGTATTCTTAATATATTCCTTTGTATTCTTATGTATTCTTCAAAATATTTATATATTTATTTATGCTTAAGTGCACTCTACAAAACAAATTTCTAAATGGTACACTGAAGAAATAAACCTAAATAATGATACTTATGCAAATCTATCACTTATCAAAAATATAAAGAACAGGTAGGTACAGCCTTCATAATTATGTAGTACTGATTTCTCATGTAATCTCATAATATATTCCTATTTTTTCATGTAATCCCATGTATTCTTATGTACCTATGCTCTTTGCATTCTTATGTATGCCCAATGTATTCTTATGTATTCCTTTGTATTCTTATGTATTCAAATTTCTAAATGATAAGTAGACTGAAAAAATAAACCTAAATAATGATATGCAAATCTATAATTCATCAAAAATATAAAAAAATACAAGCTTTTGGTACCTATATACCTACTGATTTCTCTTTTTATTACATTTGAAGCAGTATTGTCAGTATTGGAAAGATCTACATGGTATTGTAATTAGTGACTTCCAGGAACCAGAAATTCAATTTCTGTCAGAAGTTCCAGCGAATTATTATTACAGAAAAATCTCCTTATGTTATTAGGTTAAAGCTGAAGTAAAAATATCTCATAATTGAAAAGTCCTTGCTTTATTGGCTTCTAGATGAGTCCTCAGGTAAATTAAATATAGGGGCAGAATTAACATTGAGCTCTACATCTACAACTGAGGATGGAGTACAAAAGGAGCATTTAGTTAGATGGCGAAATGCACTTAGAAGCTTCAAGTAAACAAGATACTTCAAATGAATAATCATATTACGCTGTCGCCTATGAACATCAATGGGTAGATTCGAGGGTAGATTTATTGGAATGTCATATCATGTTGATTTTTAACAATTATAATTCTTTCATATTCTAATAGTTTGTATTATTTGATGCATAATAAAACTTACCAAACGATTGAACTCTTTCCTTTTCTGAACCAATATTTTTATCATAGCTCACTAAATTATCTTTTACTTATGTTCACTTCGATGTTTACTGTGTTCTATTAAAGACAACATATTTCCTGTCATTAGTACTTATATATAGTTACATATGCTGCTTTGTAGAACTTTGTATTGCCTTACAATTGCATGTATTTTTATGTATTCTCATGTACTCCGATGTATTCCCTTGTAGTGATATGTATTATGTATTTTTATATTATTATGTATTCCTTTGTACTTCATGTTTTCAGTGTACAAATTTGGCTGGCGGTTTACCCCTCGGCTTCTAAGGTTATTATAAATAAAACCAAAACACAATATCAAATCCAAAACTAAAACAAATAAACATAGAGATCAAATCATTTGAAATCCCAGGAATTCTTGGATTGAATAAACTGAGTTTTCTTTTAGAAATCTTTATAGTTTGACAGCACAATTTTTTTAGCTTGTGAAAATCAAGTGAAAGTAATGTATACAAAAAGCCTCTCACTATTAATTGACCAATGTCTGAACCGAGGGGTTCTTCACCCCTCGAAATCGTGTCACAAATTTGTCCGAAATCCCCGAAATCTTTCCAAAATCCTACCAAAATCCCCGAAAATCTTTCCGAAATCCATGAAATCAGTCCGATATCCGCCGAAATCTCTCAGAAATCTTTCCGCAGACCCAAAAATCCCTCGCAATTGGCCCAAAATTCATAAATCGGTCAACACGGCCTTTTTTCAGTTTATACTAATACACTTTCGAATATACTTATAAGATAAGTAACAGTCAAAAATCAAATTAAAATATTTGCGAAATCACCTGAAATTCTCCGAAATCACCCGAAATCCTTTGAAATCACTCAAAATCCTTCGAAATCATCGGAAATCACCCGAAATCAACCGAAATCCCTCAAAAACGCTCTAAATCTGAAATCTTGTCTCAGTGAAAAATCCTTCGAAATCTTTCCTAAATCCTACCAAAATCCCACCGAAATCCTCTGAAATCCCTCAAAATCGCTCTAAATTCGAAATCTTCTCACATTTTTCCCTAAATGAATAACCCCTCGGGGGTACCCTTTGAAAAAAATTCAAAAACTCAAAATTTTCATTTTTCGTAATTTCGGCTTTTCTAATCGATAGAGCGGGTCTGAATTAGTCGGAAAAAACTCTAACATCATTGCAAAATCTTGATTTCAATATAAACAAAAATTAAAAAGAAAATCTAAATTTTTAGGTTTAAATTTTTTTTGAATCCTGACAAGGTTAGGAGCAATTGCCAATACTTCCACTAAATTTTAAGCAAATCAAAATAAATTATATATGGTTGGAAAGAGCATTAAATTCTCTATAAATCAGTGCTAGATTGAGTTTGATAACTCAAAAACTTTTGGAGCAATTGAGCCTTAAAATTGGATTTTAGTTAAAATTTAGTCAAAAACTTCAAACTCGATTTTCTCAATAACCGTAAATGTCAGCGACTTCAACGAAATACCATTTTAAAGTCCTTATTAGGAGCTACAATTTCAACAAAAAATTGATCCAAAGTTTCTGACGGGTTCCGAGAAAATTAAATTTGAAAATTTTGAAATAAAAATCCAAATTTTGAAAAAAAATCAAAAACTCAAAATTTTCATTTTTCAGATTTTCGTAATTTTGGCTTTTCCAATCGATACAACAATACTTCCATTAAATTTTGAGCAAATCAAAATAAATTATATATTGTTGGAAAGAGCATTAAATTATCTATAAATCAGTGCTGGATTGAGTTTGATAACTCAGATACTTTTGCAGCAATTGCGCCTCAAAGTTGGATTCTAGCTGAAATTTAATCAAAAACTTTAAATTCGATTTTCTCAAAAACCGTAAATGCCAGCGACTTCAACTAAGTACCATTTCAAAGCCCTCATTAAGGGCTACAATCACAAAAAATCTCTGACGGGTTCCGAGAAAACTGAGTTTGAAACTTTGGAAACAAAAATCCAAAGGGTACCCTTTGAAAAAAATTCAAAAACTCAAAATTTTCATTTTTCAGTTTTTCGCAATTTTGACTTTTCCAATCGATAGAGCGGGTCTAAATTAATTAAAAAATTCTAACATCATTCCAAAATCTTAATTTCAATACAGAGAAAAATTAAGAAGAAAATCTCAATTTTTAGGTTTAAATTTTTTAAAAATCCTGACAAGGTTAAGAGCAATTGCCAATACTTTCATTAAATTTCGAGCAAATCAAAATAAATTATAATGGTTGGAGAGAGCATTAAATTCTCTATAAATCAGTGCTAGATTGACTTTGATAACTCAAAAAATTTTAGAGCAATTCAGCCTCAAAGTTGGATTTTAGTTGAAATTTAGTCAAAAACTCGATTTTCTTAAAAACCGTAAATGCCAGCGCTTTCAACTAAGTAAGTACCATTTTGAAATTCTCATCAAGGGCTACGATCCTAAAAAAAATTGATCCAAAATCTTTGATGGGTTCCGAGAAAATTGGGTTAGTTTGTTTGGTTAATTTTGAAATAAAAATTCAAAGGGGGTACCCGAAGGATTAATTCGTCCGAAATCCACGAAATCACTTCGAAATCCATGAAATCACTGCGAAATCCGCCGAAATCCTTCCTAAATTTCTCAGAAATCTTTCCACAGACCCAAAAATCCCTCGCAATTGCCCCAAAATTCATAAATCGGTTAACGCGGCCGTTTTTCAGTTTATACTAATACACTTTCTTATAAGATAAGTAGGTAACAAATCTCAAAATCTTCCCGAAATCCTATCGAAATCCCTCGAAGTCGCCCGAAATCCCTCAGAATCGCTCTAAATCCGAAATCTTGTCACATTTTTCCCTCAGTGAATAACCCCTCGGTCTGAACTTATACTCTCAAATAAAATTTTGTGATATTGAATCAACCATCAACTTCAAATTACCATTTGATGTTTCATCTAAATTTTAGTCTTTTATTTATAATCATTTGAGGATAAGTATGTGAATTACCACTACATAGATACTTTATTGACTTATTTATTTAAAAACAAACCCCCCTTTTCTAGTCTCCATCATCGGTTTCATGATAATCAGTTGGCTAATATACTCAGAAACCAGCTACTACTTAAACAGCAAATTTGTCTTCAAATTCTCCCCTGACATAGACTTGGAAGAAAAACTAAACATCAACATTGACATGACTGTGGCAATGCCTTGCGGATGTAAGTTTCAATAATCAAAATAATAATTAATAAACTAACAAATTCTAGTTATTGGTACTGATGTTTTGGACTCAACCAATCAAAACACCTATCAGTTTGGAGCATTGGAAGAAGAAGACACTTGGTTTGAACTATCAGAAAATCAACAAATCCATTTTGAAAACAAAAAACATTTCAACTCGTACTTGAGAGAAGAATACCACGCAATTAAAGATCTTTTGTGGAAGAGTAGTTTCTCGACTCAATTCGGCGATTTGCCTCCTAGAAGCCACACTCCTGACAGGCCTTACGATGCCTGCAGAATACACGGCAGCATGATTTTGAATAAAGTAGCTGGAAATTTTCATATAACTGCTGGTAAAAGCATCAGCTTACCAAGAGGGCACATCCACATCAGTGCCTTTATATCAGACAGAGACTACAATTTCACTCATAGAATAAACAAGTTCAGTTTTGGTGATCCAAGTCCAGGTATTGTGCATCCTTTAGAAGGTGATGAGCTGATTTTATCCCAATCAATGACTGTGGTTAATTATTTTGTCGAAGTCGTACCAACTACTGTTAAAACTTTCATGAACACCATAAGCACTTACCAGTATAGTGTCAAAGAACTGACGAGGCCTATTAATCACGACAAGGGCAGTCACGGTGTGCCTGGGATTTATTTCAAATATGATATGTCAGCTTTGAGGGTCACTGTTAGCCAAGAACGGGATCATTTGGGGATGTTTTTGGCCAGATTGTGTTCGATTATTGGTGGGGTTTATGTGTGTTCAGGTAAGAGAATTTTGATTTATTCAACAACAACTGCGAGATCTTTAATTCCAAATCATGATCAATAGTTTTTAAAAATCATGATTTATTAATCCTATAGAGGTCATTGAAGCCTTGTTCTTCATGCATTTGAATAGAGTAGGCTATTTATTAATGGGCCTTGAAAGTCTTTCTAGATTCTTCAAGGTTTTTTTTTTAAATTTTCAATGTTGTATCTGCTCTAAAGTCATAATCTATAATAGCAGAGGCTTTAATTTTAAGTCTTTGAACATTTTGACTTCAAATAAAGCTTTAAGGACTTCAATTTAAGAATATCTAGCGTCATAAATGTCCTCTGTGAACTGTTCTGGATGAAGTTTACCTTTAAAATGATCAGAAATCAAAGTTTCATACATTTCTAGTCCAGTTTTGGTTCTAGTAGAGCCAGGAATTGAATGTTCATGCATTTCCAATGTAAATTTAAATTTTTAAAATCTCTTCAGCTGAATTTTATACAAGGGCTATACCACCCCCCCCATATTTGTTCAAACAATTCCTCAAACTTCCCGCAAAATTCTCCAAATTCCTATAAATTCCCCACAGTTTTAGCAAATAATTCCTAGGTGGTTTGCTTCTTGAAGGTGAACGATCGAAAGAAATTTTTTATTTAGGTAGGAAAGCCTGGAATGAAATGTTCACACTTTGGAGACTTATATCTCAAGAACTGTTTCAAATATTGAAATCAAACCTGTTTAATCAAGGGGCAAACCACCTAGCAATTCTTTGCCAAAAATGTGGGGAATTTAAAGGAATTTGTGGGGAATTTGTAGGAACTCATCCGAATTTATGAGAATTTGGGGAAATTGGAGGAATTTTTGGGGAATTTGGAAGAATTTGTGAGAAATGTATGAGGAATTTAAAGGAAATTGTCAAATTTAAAAAATTCAAAAGAATAATGAATACAGTTTTTGTAGGTTGATTTCCAAGATTTTTTATGTTGCTGTTTTCCACTGGAAAATTTTGAAATTTTGGGAAAATGAGCTTCTCACCTTTCTCTTAACATGTAAAAAGTTTCGAAATTTTCCCTTCACTAGTTTTCCAGGAAAACTTTGAAATGTGTGAGACTGTATTTTCAACTAATTCAATTATTGTAGGTTGATTTCCAAGATTTTTCATGTTGCTGTTTTCCACGGGAAAATTTTGAAATTTTGGGAAAATGAGCTTCTCACCTTTCTCTTAACATGCAAAAAGTTTCAAAAGTTTCCCTTCACTAGTTTTCCAGGAAAACTTTGAAATGTGTGAGACAGTATTTTCAACTAATTCAGTTATTGTAGGTTGACTTCCAAGATTTTTCATGTTGCTGTTTTCTACTAGAAAATTTCGAAATTTTGGGAAAATAAGCTTCTCACCCCGCTTCTCACCTTCCTCTTAATATGCAAAAAGTTTCAAAATTTTCCCTTCACTAGTTTTCCAGGAAAACTTTGAAATTTGTGAGACTGTATTTTCAACTAATTCAGTTTTTGTAGGATGACTTCCAAGATTTTTCAGGTTGCTGTTTTCTACTGGAAAAATTTGAAATTTTGGGAAAATGAGCGTCTCATCTTCCTCTTAACATGCAAAATGTGTCAAAATTTTCCCTTCACTAGTTTTCCAGGAAAACTTTGAAATGTGTGAGAAATGTGAGAATGTCTTTTCAATTAATTCAGTTATTGTAGGTTGATTTCCAATATTCCACATGTTGTTATTTTCCACTAGAAAAATTTGAAATTTTGGGAAAATAAGCTTCTCACCTTCCTCTTTACATGCAAAAAGTTTCAAAATGTTCCCTTCACTAGTTTTCCAAGAAAACTTTGAAATGTGTGAGACTGTATTTTCAATTAATTCAGTTATTGTAGGTTGACTTCCAAGATTTTTCATGTTGCTGTTTTCCACTGGAAAAATTTGAAATTTTGGGAAAATAAGCTTCTCACCTTCCTCTTTACATGTAAAAAGTTTCAAAATGTTCCCTTCACTAGTTTTCCAGGAAAACTTTGAAATGTGTGCGACTGTATTTTCAATTAATTCAGTTATTGTAGGTTGATTTCCAAGATTTTTCATGTTGCTGTTTTCCACTGGAAAATTTTGGGACAATAAGCTTCTCACCTTCTTCTTTACATGTAAAAAGTTTCAAAATTTTTCCTTCACTAGTTTTCCAGGAAAACTTTGAAATGTGTGAGACTGTATTTTCAACTAGTTCAGTTATTGTAGGGTGATTTCCAAGATTTTTCATGTTGCTGTTTTCCACTGGAAAATTTAGAAATTTTGAGAAAATGAGCGTCTCACCTTCCTCTCTACATGCAAAAAGTTTAAAAAATTTCCCTTCACTAGTTTTCCAGGAAAACTTTGAGATGTGTGAGACTGTATTTTCAACTAATTCAGTTATTGTGGGAAATTTTGAAATTTTGGGAAAATGAACTTTTCACCTTCCTCTTTACATGCAAAAAGTTTCAAAATGTTCCCTTCATTAGTTTTCCAGGAAAACTTTGAAATGTGGGTTACTGTATTTTCAACTAATTTAGTTTGTGTAAATTTTAGGAAAATGATCTTTTCACCTTCCCCTTTACATGCAGAAAGTTTCAAAATTTTCCCTTTTTTAAGAGGAATTTGTGGGGTATTTGGAGAAGTTCGTGGTGGGGTATTTGGAGGAATTTGTGATGGAGTATCTGGAGGAGTTTGGAGGAATTTGTAGGAATTTTGAGGAATTATTCGAAAAAAATTCTTCTTTGAGGAATTGTTTGCACCAATTCTGGGATGTTTTATCTTGTAGAGCATTCAATTCTGATTCAGAATCATCAACTACAAACTTAAACTTGTCAAGTATTAATTTCTCCAAATCAAATTTCAACTCTAGGAGAACCTGGAATGAGATTTCCACACTTTGGAAGCTCATATCTCAAAAACTGTTCCAAATATGGAAATCAAATCGATTTTACCTTGTAGAGCATACAAACATTCCTCCAAAATTCCCTGTAAATTCCTCCAAACTGCTCGCAATTTCCCTGCAAAATGCCTGTTACAAATTCCCTGGAAATCCTCAAAATTGTTTGTGATAAGAAATGTCTATTTTCATTACGCTCGCAGTGTTAAAACCAACAAATTCCCCTAATTTCTCATACATTCCTCTAACCTCCCATAAATTCCTTCATATTTCCCACAAATTCCTCCAAATTCCCCTCAAATTCCTCTAAATTCCCCACAGTTCTGGCAAAGGATTCCTAGGTGGTTTTCCCCTAGATTTTATATCTAAGAAGTTCAAAAATCATCTTCTGGATGAACTTTTAACTCTAAAATAACCTACAATCAACGTTTTATACATTTCTAGTCTAATTTTGGTTCTAGTAGAGCCAGGAATTGAGTTTTCATGCATTTCCAGTTTAGATTTAAAATTTTCAAGGGCTCTCAAGTTCAATTTTGTATCTATGAAGTTCAAAAGTGACCTTTGGAAACCGCTCTGGATAAACTCATTGTCATATGGTCAAAAACCAGTTTCATACATTCACATTCTAATCTGGCTCTAGTATATGAGATTTTCATGCGTTTGTAAGTCAAATTTTGGATTTCCAAGCATGTACAGTAGAATTTAAGTTCTGATTCTGGTTACACTCTAATTCTACTAGTTCAGATTTTCCAGATTCTTCAAGAGACAAATAATAATGTATCATTTGCAGTTGTTGGATAATCAATAAGATATCAAAACTCATTTCTGTTTCAGGTATTTTAAACAGTATTGTCCAACTAATCATCAATTTCGTCACTTGTAATTGGATGACTAAAAAATCAAGTGCGGAAATAATCAATCAAGGGCCATCCACATTTCAGCCCTTCATAACAACACCACCAAAATAAAACCACAACAATTTTATTTAAAGAACGTTTTTTTTTGTTAATTTAATTTCAATAATTACCTAATATCTTATTCACAATCTGTAGTCCAAAGGTACAGGTAAATTTATTACCTTTCCCTATCAAATAGCATTAAAAGGTGATAAATTTCACCTGTACTTTTGGACCAACAGATTGTGAATAGACAATATTTATTAAACAAAATTACTTGCCTATAATAAGAAGGAAATATACAGCACAAAATCAATTGCGTTTTAATTATTATTGAGTCGTTTGAACCGAAATAAGTGAACGGATTTTTGTGAAAGACGCCGTGCTCTCGTTTGAGCTGAATCCCCTATATAATAATATTTTTCTTGGTCTTGTGCATTGATACCGAAAAAAGTGCCTTTATGGTATTGTCAGTAAATCTACTAGTAGAACATCTTTGGAATGTAGTTCACAACCAGTTTGCTAAAATAATGCTACCCCAAAGATTTGTGTAGAATAATAATTGTTGGAGTATATATGGAGTTAAACTATGAAACATTCATACTCCAGAGTAGGGTGCTATTTGTGATAAAATCGCTCTAGGAATGAAATCTGTGGAAGGCAAAGTGGCACAAGTTAAACTGTTAATGTATTAAAAACTAATATTTTGGAGAGAGATTCTAAAACTAAAGGTATATAATCCAAAATTAGACTATGCATAGCCATTGAGACGTCATTTTAATGCATTTCTGATGCTTTTTTTGGACATTGATATTGACGCAAACAATGACAATAGCAAAATGGCGTATAGCAACAAGCTGTTATTTAAATTATTCCCGGCTCTTGATTTTAGTCCAAGAGTACGAGGAATGAAAAGGTGATATGCCTAGTTGGTTCTGTGAAATTGAAGATGAAAAGTTTGAGTTGTGCCGGTGTTAAAAGGGTGCATAATGAAATTCCTCATTGTTAAAAAATTTGTAATTGAAATATCTGCAGAATTTACGCTGCATACCTTCAAGGCGATGAATGTGACAGGCATAGTTTGGACTCCAAGCAGATGCAGCATATTCAAGATGTGTATGAACATATGAGAAGAATAACGTTTTGATTGAGTTGATATTTGCAAATTCCCTTGTACTACACTTCACAAACCCAAGCATCTGGAGTGCTTGACTAACCATGGCATCGATGTGTGAAGAGAAATCAAGAATGGAGCTCAGCAAAATACCCAAATCCCTGATCTGATTCACACAGTCCAATGGCATACCATTGATGTGATATATGCAGTCATTAAAGGTTCTAGACCTGTAGAATTTCATAACTTCACACTTCGTAACATTAAAATCCATGCCATCAGTTTGACACCACTGAATTAACCTGTCTAGATCCTCTTGCAGTGCATGGCAGTCAAGGAATAACGATTTTCAAAAATAATTTCAAGTCATCAGCAAAAAGAAGAAATGAACAGTGTAGGAAACAATAATAGATGTCATTCATGAAAAGGTTAAAGTGCAGTGGGTCTAAATGCGAGCCTTGAGGAACACTTGATGACACCAAGATTTGGGAAGAGGTAAAGTTGTTAAGAACTCTCTGTGTCCTTCCTTTAAGAAAGCTTTCTACCCATTGAGGCAGAGAGCCAGAGATGCCAAGTCTTTCTAGTGTTTTGATCAGGACTAAATGATTGACTCTGTCAAACGCCTTGGAGAAGTCAGTGTATATAGTATGTACCACAGATTTATGTGCCTATGTACCTACATGCCCCCCCCCCCCCTAGACAAAACGTTTGGTTGCGCCACTGATCCCGTGCAGGAACAAAATATGGTCCGATGAGATTTTGTCTAGTAGGCGACAATGGTAGATGGTGTGAGGCAGCTTTCCTTTTCCTGGTTTCATAAAAGAGAAATTTTTGATAACAGGACTACACCATTTAGGATACTAGTGATGTGAAATACCTGGGTATTTATACTTCATGGTAAATACCCAGATAAATACCCAAAATTCATATAAATATCGGGGCATTTATGAATTTAAAGAGAATCACGGCTCGTAGTAAGTTTATCTTTGTGAAACTATCTATGTACCTACCTCCTCACACCCCTCCAAGGTGCCTGTCAGAAAGTCAGAGTATGTGAGAAAATTAATTTCCGTTGATGTCCTTTTTTTGAAGCCAAACTGCTTGGATATAATTTCGTCATATCTAATGAGTCATCGGATTTGAGAATCGGTACCACATAACTGGCTCTCCAATACTCAGGGAAGAAGCCGTCTCTCAGGGACTTGTTGTAAATTATATGCAAGGGCCTGGACAAAACAAAACAGCAATTTTTCAAAAAGAGCAGGTGGCCCTGGTCCCTTGTTTGGGTCGATATTATTTAACTCCATGTAGATGTCAGAGATAGGCATAGTGGAATCAAATAAATTGTGAGGAGATAGAGAAAGGTGATCTGGGAAATCCAATACTTGACAGTATAAACTAAGCCAAAGTATTTGGCGAAGAATTAGGCAGCTTGGGGACCCATAGCTGCCGACTCCCATTATGTCTAAAACTTGAAGGAGGCTTACTCGAGTTTTGTATAGATTTGGTATACGACCAGAACTGTTTTGGATTATACTGCAATACCGATTCAGTTTCATTTAGGTATTCACGAAAATTCTCCCTAGACATAGGCGCCGGAATTGCAAAATTACTATGGAGGCTCGGGCTCCAAAAATTAACATAAGTAGAATTAATTTAGACAGGCAGGACTAGGCTACTAGACACATAGACCTAAATCGGACCAGTTGCCATACCCATTTCACTGCAGGATCGCCACGGATCATTGATCGTCCCTGCAGGTGCCTTCATATTATTGAAATACAGTTTGCTGTAACATGCAATCAGCAAACTTCGAACTACGAGGAGCAAATAGCTTGAAGTCCGATTGTCTGATTTAAACGGTAGTGGACAATTTTGATGTACAGATCTCCTCAGCAAATGGACTGGAATCAACACACTCCCTCGCTATGATGCGTCGCTTTCATTCAAAACAAATTGAGAAAAACTATATACAGGGGCGCCCGCAGAAAAATATGTAGGGGGGTCAAAATCAATTGAATAAATTTTTTATACGTAAAAAGGGACTTCAGTCTAAATTATCATTTTAGAAGCAGAATCAGAATTTTAAATGCAACATTTGCAAAGCAAAATTTAAAAAAAAGGTAGTTTGAAGAGACACAAACTAACACACTTGGACGAGAAGAATTTTAAATGCAACATATGCAATGCAAAATTTAAAGAAAAATTTAAATTAGGAAAATTTAAACAAAAAGATAATTTGAAAAGTCACATATCAACAGACTTCGATAGTTATCTTTTTGAATGTGACATTTGCAAAGCAAAATTCAAAGAAAAAGACTGTTTAAAGAGACACAAACTAATACAGTCTGATATTTATCCTTTTAAATGTGACACATGCAATGCAAAATTTGAACACAAACGTAGTTTGAGAAGCCACATATTTACACACTCGGATGAGGAGAATTTCAAATGTAACATTTGCAATGCAAAATTGAAAAGAGAAGGCGATTTGAAGGAACACATATTGATACACTTGGATATTAAATTTTTTTGAATGGGACATTTGCAAATCAAAATTTAAACGGAAACGCGATTTGAAGATACACAAACTAACACATTCGGGTATTTATCCCTTTGAATGTGACACTTGCAAGGCAAAATTTGAAAAAAAGTAATTTACAAAGGCACATTTCAACACACTCGGATATTTATTCTTTTGAATGTGACACTTGCAAATCAAAATTTAAATGGAAAGCCGATTTAAAGATTCACAAACTAACACATTCGGATATTTATCCATTTGAATGTGACACTTGCAATGCAAAATTTAAGCAAAAACATATTTTGAAAAGCCACATGTTAACACACAGATTTTTTATTATTTGATTCACTTAATAGTGACATGTGTTTAGCTCCGGGATCCTTGAACTCAGCCACAAAATTCACCAGTTTTGGAATAAGAAAAGGGTGACAATTTATCAATATGCAAATCGGTACACTGAGATATAGATATTAAATCAACTTATTTACTTCTTATAAATAGCTAAAATCTCAGGCATGGTAGAGGAAGATCCAAAACAGACTAAAGCATTGAATATAAAAAAAAAAATCAGAAATCGGTAAATCGTTACATAATTGATTCGGAATGATGTTTTTGGAGAATCAAGAAGTTAGCGATTTCTTTGTTTTCGAGTTGTTAGCTATTCAGCCGAATCACGAAGTTCTAGTTAAATTTTCAGATTATCTCATCGATACATGGCACATGCCTCGATAGACCTGGATAAGAAAACAAATGCCTGTGAATCTTTCCATAGTCATTTTGGTAGATCTTTTTATTTTGCGCATCAAAATACATATTTACACTTTTTTAGATTTATTAACTCATATGCAATGCGAAATCTGTCAACATCATAAGGTAAGTTTTATGGGAAGTAGGTTGGGTTTCATGATTTGGTCGAATTCAAAGATAGGATTACTGCAGCTACCTGGTTTGTGGCCGAATTCAAGTATGCCCGTTTCGCTCATACGAGCATCATCGGACCTACAATATATCGAAAATAATTAAAATTTAAGAAATTTCCAGGGGGGGTCGAGTGACCCCCCTGACCCTCCCTGTGAGTGACTATATACAGGTTTGATAGGTCAACAACCAACAGGCCAATTTTAATGCAATAGAATGAAATGTCTAGAAACACTCTAAGGTTGGATAGAGAACGAAAAATAAGGATTTCCTCTGTTCCACCTCCAGCATTTCCAGCGCTCTTTGGCGACCTTGTTGTTATTTCCCTCCGCTTCGCGTCGGAAGGCAAACCACATCTCGCTCTAAAATCTAATACTTTTTTTCCTTGAATAATGAATAACTATTATTAATGGGATGTTATATCTTTCGGTGTTGAAGTTGCTCAATATATTGGGATATAGAATATCATCCATAACTCTTTGGAATGTAGCTGGCGCGTTCTTCAAACCAAAGGGCATGCGCAAGAATTCATAAGGCCCATTTTCTGTGCTGAATGCGGTTTTTTCGATGTCGTTTTTATGCATCTGAATCTGGTGGAAGCCGCTAGCTAAATCTAAGGTGGTGAAATACTGGCAGCGTCCCAGCTTGTTCAAGAGATCCGTTATGTTGGGTAATGGGTGTCTGTTATCTAAGATTTTTGTATCAAGGCCCCGTAAGTTACTATATTATACTAAACAAAAAAATATTCAAACTGTTTGTCAAAGTGGGTACCTATAGCAAAAACAACAAAAACATAAAACACACAAGTTTGATATGAACATAAATAGTTAGGAATGTTAGGATCAGGAACTCAATATTTTTGTGCCTATACCCACTACACCCACTACATACAATGCCAAAATCACTCTGCCATAGCAAATTCACTACGGAGGCTCAAGCTCCCGTGATTCCGGCGATTATCCCAGGAGCCAAGAAAATAGTTTATGTCGTTGAAGTTTGAGGCTTTGAAGTCATAATAGTATCCGTCTCTCTGTGGATTTGAATTACAGTAATTCATCTGCAGTGTGGCTTGAAACAACAGGGGTGGGTGGTTATTACACAATGGAAGCAGGTAATCATCTTCATCTGGCTGAGTGACAGGTAGAATATCAAGTCAAGGGTAACATTATTGATATTATAAATGTTATTAAGCTGGTATAGATTGTGGAAAGCACTACTTCTGACATGTATTGTATTTTCTGGATTTCAGTAGGAGCAAGGTCATGATCATCATCCTGAACATAGGCCTCCCCTTCCAATTTCCATCTCCGACGGTCTTGTGCAATGTGTTTCCATCCTCGTCCTGCCTTCCGATAAATGTCATCCATCCATCTCTTTTGGGGTCTCCCTTTGCCACGTCTGTGTGTTCTTGGTCTCCACTGCATGACTATTTTTATCTATGTGTTGTTCGGTTGCCTCGCCACGTGGCCTGCCCATCTCCACTTTTCTTCTGCTAGGCATTGGATCACATCGTTCACACTCGTGCGTCGACGTATGTCGTAGTTGTTTATCTTGTCTCTCAGACTAATGCCTAACATTGAGCGTTCTATACCCCTCTGAGTGACTCTGAATTTGTTTCACTTTTTATATTTAGTGTCATGGCTTCCAGGCCGTATGTCAGTACAGGGAGCATGCACATGTCATGCACTTTTCCTTTCAAGTTTATAGGAATATCTGGATTTTTCAGGATAAACCGCAACCTTCCAAATGCTACCCAGGTCATGCTCACTCTTCTGGTAATTTCAGCCTTTTGGTTCTCTTTCCCAAGCTTGATTTGGTGCCCCAGATAGACGTATTCGTCCACTCTATTTCTTGGCCTTCGATGGTGAGTAGGTAGGAGCAAGGTAAAGTCCAGCTGGCTTTGGGGAGATTAAAGTCTCTCATGATGCAACATTCAGTATGGGTGAATTGTTCAGAGATATCTTCCAAGCTTTCGTACTTCTCAATTGGGGAGTTACGAAAGGAGGTATACGCAGCCCAGAACCATTTTCTTCTGCTCTACCACTGCCTATAGCGACAAAAACTTGCTCGAAGTCACCTGTTGTCCCAATAAGACGTGATGCTATTGACATTGGTGATGAAATTCCAAATTTCAATTATTCTTAGCTCTTGATTCAGGTTCAAGAGCCGGGAATAATCAAAATTTGAAAATTTTTAGCGAATCGAATCTCACAGAACATCGTTATTTAATTTGCTTGTTGATGAAATTTCAAATTTAAATTATTCCCGGCTCATGATTTGAGTTCAAGAGCCGGGAATAATCAAAATTTGAACATTTTTAACGAATCGAACGATGACAATTGTTGTTGTTGTCGTTGAGTGACTAATAATGGTCTCTTGACAGTTGTTCATTGACATTCTTTATCGCATCAAATAACTTTTCTTTAACGTCATTTACCATGGTGTTTGTCACTAGCAAAGGAGGGACGATATACATATTGAGAAGAGGTTAACCCAATACATGACATGACACGCCTCCCTCCTGGAAAAAATTCAACAGGGAACTCCTTTTAGGCTCGTTTTGGTACTTGCTCTGGTATCTTGACTGATATATGCCTATCCTCCTCTGTTGGAGTAAAAACTTCACTGCTCAACGCTGTCGTTCACTGGTGGGCATCGGGCTGACTATTATCTGACTGTATCTGTTTGTTCTTCCGAAATATCTCTGGCATGTAGCTGTACTGTATGACGTTTAACGATTTCATTGTCTGGGATAGCCACTTTGTAGCTTACTGGTTCTGTTGCTTCTTCTATTGATGCAACCACCCATTTTGTTCCTGAATGTGTAGGATCTAAAATAAACTGGATTATTTTCATGAAACATTCTCATCGGTTTCGGATGATATGTTGTTTCTTGTTTTGATTTCTTATCACAGAAAAAACTTTGTCCAACAAAGTAAACAATCTTCGACCTATGAGAATCTCAGCTGGAGATTTTCCTGTCATAGCATGAGGTGTAATAATGTTGTGTCAATAGGTATCTACTATCTACAACAACTTCGCAACATGCATTTCTCACATTCTACACCATTCTCTCAGTTTGCCCGTTGCTACTTGCATGATAAGGCGCGACCAAAGCTTGCCTTATGCCGTTGCTCTGCAGAAATTCTTGGAAATCTGAAGCCACAACCAGATCCATTATCGGACACCTCTGGAATTCCAAGTGTGGCAAATAATTCTCTGAGCACGGTTGATGTGTTTGGAACTTTTCTCACTTCAAGTCATTTGGAAAAAGAATCAACCACTATTAGAAAGTAATTTCCGTCTTAAGGTCCTGTAACGCCGTTACTAGAGTTTTTCCGTATTCGGCTGACTACAATCTCCGTTCTTTCTTTAAAACTGCTTAATAAAATAACGCGATTTCACAAAACCTATTTTCCTAATAAATGGTCCAAGGAAAATAGGCTTTTCCTAGGGTTCTTGCTTTTCGCGATCAGCTGATGCCGCTTCAGTCACGGGCTTCGGTACAATTTCGCGCGACGTGCGTCGAGCCTTTGCTTCTCCCATTAGCAATTCCTACTACCGACTCGTTTCCCCCGCCGGGATTTTTCTATAAAACTAGCGAACACGGCCAAGAACAGCAATTCCGTCCGCCGCACCGACCAGACCAGGAGCTACCTAACTCGTACCGCGTACCGAGGTAAGCTGGTAAATACCGTTTCCGAACCGTCAGCGCCGACTCGACCGTTGCCGAGTCCTATCCAGGTGAGTGAGGTACTTATATGCTGCGACGTAACTGGATTGAATGGGGTTATGTGATTGAAACACGTTACACGGTGATCCTATTCTTTCCATGACGGAAACGAGGGGGCTATGTGATTGGAACATGTTACACGGTGGCGCTCTCTGTCCTTACGTATCGGTATAGCAAGTACTGATCGCTCTATCTGGATTACACGCTCCCACACAATCTGGATGAGAGAGGTGCTTATACATTGAGACGTACCTGGATTGAATGGGGTTTACCTTATTCTTTCCATGACGGACACGAGGGGGCCATGTGATTGGAACACGTTACACGGTGGCGCTGTCTGTCCTTACGTATCAGTGTAGCAAGTACTCATCGCTCTATCCAGATTATTAACAAGCCAGATTAATTAACCAAGCCGGCGCTGAAGGGACGGAACCGACCGTTAATGTCCGTTGGAGCTTCTTTCCGATTTTACCGTCATCTAACCGTTTTTTTTACCGTACCGTGGGGGCTTTGATTCCCGTTGCTTCTCATTTACGTCAATCACCTGCCAGTATTGGTTCGCACACACTTTCTCTCTCTCGCACTCGCTTTAATTTTCATTCACGCTACCTCGTATTTACATTCATATTTTCTTTCTATTGTTATTTATTTGGGCATTAATAAAAAGTACATTGTGTGTTTCATTTTGGGGAAAATGCGCATAGACCTCTGGTTTTTCCGTCTCCACTGTTTGAAAGCTACCTAGTGCACGTGGGCCCTTAACCACTATAATCCTAAGGGTGGCGCCCGAGTTTTCCGAAAACCCCGAACCGACCGCTTTCTTACCGGAAAACCAAAGTAGCGCTACAGTCCTGCATGATCAATGTGAATTCTTTGCCAAGGATGACGAGACCACTCCCATGGGTGGGTCAGTGCCCTGTAAGGCATATTTCTTACCTTTTGGCATTCTTGACATGCATTTAGTAGGTTTTCGATTTGTTTATTCAGGTTGGGCCACCACATATTCATATACGACCTTGCGCTGAATATAGAATTTCTAATAACCTTTTCCTCCTTCCTGGGTGGGATGATTACCCTAGTACCCCAAAGTAGGCCGTCTTGATAACATGTAATCTCGTTTTTCCTTTGTAAATAGGGCAATAACTTAGAGCTAAATTGTGTATGATTTTTATCGTAAGGCCAGCCCTTCCATGCCCATTGCAGTACTTTAGACAAAACTAGGTCATTATTTGTTTCAACAGCTAATTCTTTACCTTATAAATTTTCTCTGGTATATTTTCCAACATCAATACATTGTCGGATGGAGAGGGTGCTGAAAACCTGGCCTTCACAGAGGTAGCCTGCTCAAAGCGTCAGCATTTCCAATACTCTTACCTGGAGTATATTGTCAGGATCTATGCCATCTGTAAATGATTATTCAATGGTAACAAACAAAACCATTCTCATAAATGTTAAACAGTGTCATTGTTTTGTTGTTAATGAATCCTAAAGTTGTGGAGGAGTTATCATGTTCAGAACATGAAGAGGCTGACACCAAAATAATATTTCATGCTTTTAGCTTTAGCAGTCAAACAAATATAGTGATCAGAAGTATAGATACTGATATTGCTGCTATCATGCTTGATCATATGCACCATCTACAAAAGGATTCCCTTGTCTGGATGCTGACAGGTACTGGAAACCACTTGAAGTATATAGACCTCACAAAGATACACGCAAAGTTAGGAGAATCTATTTGTAACAGTTTGCCTGGATTTCATGCAATCATAGGTTGTGATTATAATCCTGCACTTTTCAAAAAAGGAAAGTCGAGACAAAATGTTAAAAAAAACAGAAGAAAAAAGGTTCATGAGTTTCAGGAAAATCATTGATTACGTTACGTTTAAATAACGAAATTAATTTGTACAAGGAACCTAAACTCATGGAAGGTCAATGTCAACGAGAGTTCACCAGTAATTGTTATAATCAGCGATCACGCACGATGGTCGCTTGATTAATATAAAATAATGGTTTTTGGTAGATGAGAAGGGGAGTCTACAGACCGAGAATTATCCGCGTTAGTTAGTCAGTAAGTCATGTGATAATTATTAGTGCCCATGTCCATATCTAAAATGTATTTGTGGTAAGCTTTATTTTAAATACACTTTCCTATTTTTGTACTTGGCTCTAGTTTTGATTCTCACCCCCTCATTACACCCAGAGAACGCAGATTCTGTGTTCTGTTGCTTTCTACATGTCGAATTCCAGTGTCGATTTCTACATTTAATGTAAGGGGAAATCGTGTAAAAAACGGTACACGGAATACGAAATAAATGTCGCGTGAATTCGCGTTCTCTGGTCTGACATATGGAGGTGCCGGGAATCGTCTTGCAGATAGGGACAGAACATAAAACTTTAAAGATAAGGAGGCTGATGCCCAAAGCCCATCATTTTTACTTGTGATGGAAGCATGCGCTGAAGAACTTTCAGCTTTCATAAAATGACGTAGGTCTGGCAGTCACGGGCTCTTAGACTATTGCAAAAACTTTTCGGAGCAAGCCTGGTTTCAGGACACAAACCGCTATCTTGGAGGGAAGCTAATGTTATATTCATACCAAAAACTGGTCATCGACTTGTGGACAAAGCAAAATCATACTATATGATGGCCCAAAACTCAGCAAGTCACTGCTTAGATCAAGCTAAACAAGGTACAAACAAAGGCTGATATGTCTAGCAATAACGGAAGCAATGGCGACTTGCCCTATCGCAGAACTAAGAGACGCTGCTCAACATGCCTCCACCTATATGTGAAAATGCAGGCAATAATGAGCGCTCACAGGCTATTTCAAACAGACATGTTCAAGCCTGGTGATCTGAGGGGACATCTGCGCATCTTTCAAAAGATAAAACTGGAGAATGCCAGCAAACCAAGTGACCACATTATGGTCAGATTGGAATAAGAGAGATACCATTTGCAGTGGAGCAAACAATGCATCTTTGTAGTATACAGATGCATCCAAACTAACGGAAGGAGCTGGACTGGGTATTTCCGGCCGTAACTTCAAGCTCTCCAAGGCATTGGCCAAACATCTGACAATATTTCGAGCCGAACTGCTTGCTGTAGGTAAACATATGTGCGCAAGAGTGTCTCAACCAAAGCCTCAAAGGAAAACACATCTTCATACTATCAGATAGTCAAGCTGCCTTAAAAGCATTGAGGGCTTTCAAATGCACCTCAAAACTAGTCTGGGAGTGTAAACAGACGCTAAAAACACTAGCGACAACAACCAGGTAAGGCTGATGTGGCTGCCTAGTCATCGAGGCATAGAGAGAAACGAAGAAACAGATGGCCTCGCAAAAGAAGGGGCCTCAACACCATACCATGGACCAAAGCCCTATTGTGGCTTAATGGCCACATCATGGAAGAACTCAACACCATGACCAACTGTCATCATATTGAAGGCACACTCCGAGACTCAGACAGTCAAAAAGGTTTATCACCTTTTTAGCAAAAAGAACTGATCAGCTCTTAGACATGAGCAGACTAGACAGAATGATCGTAGGACTTCTCACAGGACATTGCTTGTTGAAATACCACTTAAGGTTAATGGGCAAAGCAGAAGACGATCTCTGCAAATTCTGCTCAGACGCAATAGAGACCGCGAATGTCCTGCCCAATTCTGCAAGAGGCTCAAATTCCTTGAGGGGGCAACACTGTCACCAGAAAAAGTGAGCCAACTGACACCCAGAAAAATAGCTTCCTCCGGCAGAAGTTTACGCTTCCTGGAGATAATTTAAGATGTAGAGTCACGTACAAAATATCTGCAAAGAGAGCAATACTGGAAAGCCGACTTCCCCCACAATCTACAATCGCTATTTAAGTCGATTGTTTATGAGCCGGAAATAATCAAAACCTGAAAATTTTCAACGAATTTAACTTATTGAGATGCTATTTTGAATTTTATTTTCATTGACAGTTAGCTTTTTATTTTGGCTGCACTGAAAATTCAAACTTTGACGCCATCTTTGTTTCAGAGATATTACGATAGAAGTTATTTTTTCTTTCTACTAAAATCTCCAAAATATTAGTTTTCAATACATTTTCATTGACTGGCACTTTACTACTATGAAAAATCTATACTCCAGCTATATGATTTTTGTGCCTAATAAATAAATATAAAACCAAAGGTTTCAATGCACAAAACCGCTCTGAGTAATAATAGATTAAGTATTATCACCGTTATTAATTCTTTAAAAGTCTATAATTTATGTATAATGAAAGCTCTCTCGTTTTACTTAAACCATAACCACGTTGTCGAGCGACACGTCCCTATCGTACGTCCACAATTTGTCCATCTGAACAGTCCAACACCTTTTAACGATTGCGAAAAAACCCACTATTATAATAAGTACGATGGTGATTAGCAACGGGGGATCCCCTCCTGCCTCCTGAGTTTTCCGGCGGCCCAAGTACGAGGAGGAGGAGGACGACCTGGATCATTCCGGTTCGTGTCCATCCAAAAAGTGCGTTCTGACTTCCAAATGCGTTGCCAGCTCCAGTACCAGGTGCTGCAAAGCGGGACTTTCTAGAAGCTCAGCTTCGGGTAAAGGAGGTTGACACCGGGGCCGGAACTGACGACCCCGGAACGCCCTGTGAAGATGGAGTACGACGTCGCAGAACACGTAACGGAGCAGGAGCAATCGCAAGAAGTCATCACCGAAGAATTGAAGATATGAAATATCTATAAATAGAGAGATGTTAGTTATATTATTAAACCCTATGTTATTATTATACTAGAGTGAAAATCAAACGAGAAGAAGTCACTGTCGTCAGCGCCGACAAAGAAAGCAGATTTCCCTTTTTCTGGGTCCCTCCCATTTAAAGCGAGACAAACGATAACGCGTGTGGCTTCTTCTCGGTTGATTTCTACTCTAATAATTCTCCTTTTCAATGTTAAATATAACCATACGCTACTGTAAAAGCTCACATATTATAAAAATGCTGAGTAAGCGGTACTGTACTGGAAAAGTACCGTCATATCAAGGTTTCGCTCACGTGAATGCTAGCGTCAGCAGTATTTTATTATAAATACGGCTCGCAGAGCCTACTCTGATCATTCTCTTATTTTGAGCTTAGACTACAGTAATTAGAATCAAGATTCTTTCGTTATCGGCTTTTTGCCACAGCAATTAGAGTCTAGTATTTTTTGTTGTAACTTATTAGTTATATATATAATTTGTTTGTAATATTGTTTATTTATATTAGTGGTTGATTGCGCTTACCTACGCGTGCCCTAGTGAATAATCTTGAAGCTTCAGTGACAAATCGATCTACAAAAGATTGGCAACGTTCCCAATGGTGGATGGCTAAACTGCTTATGTTGCAACAGTAACAAAAGGCTGTCAATGGCGAGTGCAAAAATAGCGTGAACAATGAACCATTGTGTTGCTGATCTGGAATTATGTTAATATTGTGTTAAAATATTGCATAAATAGATAATCGATTACCTTGGAAGGCAGGAGGTGTATCTTGAGGCGACATTAGAGTAACTAAGGGCTGTCCGAAATATCTAGGTATGTGTTGAAACACGAAACTATTGTCAGAGTCCACTATCACAAATAAGGGACGTCTGGTGAACGGGTACAGGTCACCGGGATAAAGGCAGTGTACTTCTTTGGTTTTCTTGTGCTCACCATCTCGTTTTGTTGTCGTCGATACCCCACCGAGATCATAACCCACTAGAATAATCATCAATGTTAATATCTAATCAGAATTGGTCAATGTACTTACTATCTTCTGGATGTTTCGAAGCAGAAAAACACCCATCTGACGACAAATAAAGCAACAAAGCACCATTAGCTGGCAGTTCCTTAAAACCACTAGCCAAAAACACTAAAATTTGACTAAGAGTCGGTTTGTAGAGCAAATACTTGTGAGGATTTTCACGCCTCGACGGTCTATCACCGTTTTCTAAATATCTACAATAAATTACAATTAAATTGATTAAAAACTATATAAACTCTTTATACTAACCCTTTTTGACCAGGTACCCCATAAGGAACCCTACCGGGGGCAGGCGAAGCGTCATAGATATGATTGAAGTCTTCTTGTGGTTCTCGTTCCAACGTCTGAATCATTCTGAACATGTCCATGGTGAGCTCGGAAAATTTCACTTGTTCAGTGGCACTGCCCACTATCAGGATTTCTTGAAGCGTTAAATTCATGTATTGGGATTTTTCTACTGGAGGTGTAGTGAGTGGACTTAGCCTGAAAAAATATAAAAGAACATGTGATAATGTAATACTTTCTTGAAGCTTTTTACCTATGAGATAATACGATAGGGTTTGTGTCAGCGTGCAAAACGGTCACTAGAGAATCTGAAGCGATGAAGCCTTTGATTTCGTCCAGGACCAGGCTCCATTCGATCTGATCGTCCGGTTCGTAGGTACTAGTGTAGTCGGCGATATGTCTGTCTAATTCTACTATCAATTCTCTAACTAATTTCATCCGGCGAAGCAGCAAGCAGACGACGATAAATCGAGCGTAGTAGCGGAGCTTTTTTACCATCAATTCAGATCTGAAACAACATTTACTAGATTTACTCATAATTATACTCTGTTTCCTTTCAGTTAGGAGCACTTTGTGATCAGATTATGGCCCTTTTTAAAGGAAATAGAGTATAATATTGATAATTTACCTGTCCTCTTTTGCTGCTCTTGAATAATACGCTCTGCCTCTAATGGCAGAATAAAACGAATACGCCTCGTTCAAATAATTTGTTTCGCTGGTTCTCAAACTGGAAAAAAAAAACATTTTAATTGTATTGATACCAAATAAAATCGCTTACTAATAATGGTAGTAAAGCTGGCCGATTTTCGAAGCGATTTCCCCAATTTGCCACCTCTTCAATCCGTATTTGGTGTCGAGTACCAGCCGGTGCTGCTGCTGGAACTTCCACAACTTCGTGTAGATGTCGAAAGTTCTGCCAAAGTATGCCTGCCACTGTTTGTGACCGTATTGAGGCAGATCTCTGCAATGGAAACACACAATATGGAAGTAAATCAGTTGCCAACTTTGTTCATCATAAATAACATGGCGCAGTCGGTAAGATCAAGACGACTATGACAAATAAAGGAATATCGGCAACCAGTTTTTATAATACTATGATATGTTCAGTACTTTGCCCTTTGGTATAGTTAAAATGTTCTTAACTTTGTTCTCAAATATTGAAGTGAAAGATTGATTTTTGAAGGCCATCTGCAATCTTCCCAAAAAACACCTTCAATTCTGCTTTTCACTCAACTGTAGGAAAACCCTTGAAAACCCCCTTCAAAAAAGTATCCATACATGGTCTGATTTACATACGCTAGCAGATCCCCTGTTGATATAATATTAGAACGAAACCCATATACTGTTTTGTCAGAGTTGAAATTACTGGCTTCAAGGTATCAAACCAGTTTCAGGTTGACCGCATTTTTCATTGCCTTTGAAATGATGCATATAAGTGAGATGTGACGATAATAATTGTTGAGAACAGTTTTCTTGTTCTTTCTCGGGATGGACTGCACTTTGGCACATTTTCAGATATACGGGAAAAGGCCTCAACTGTAAGAGGATGGAAACAGTTTGCAAAGAACTGAAGCCAATTCTTGTGTGAGGACAATTTGGTAGAATGTCGTCAGGACTACAAGATTTCCCAGTGTCAAGTTACAGAGGAATTTTCCTAATAGATTTAATTGTTGTCCATGTAAGAACCAACGTGTAACAGTAGGTACCTGTGACACTCTGCTATTGTGCTACATGGTGGAATTGGATGCAAAATGATTGATGAAGAGATCCGCTCTTTTCTTTGACGCTACCACAAAAGTATAGAAAATGTGAAATTTTTTTGTATGGTCTTGACAAAGAACCAAAAGGATCTTGATCAGCTGGGACAGTTTAGTGTTAATAACCTTGGGTAACAAGTATATTGCTGCGGAATTTCTAGATTTCTGCGGAACTCGTTATGTACGTGTCCACTCATCACTTCCAAAACAATCTAACCACTTGCCAAGGTTAACACATAAATTTCGACTCACATTATTAAACCTCAATCTGTATTTCTTTATGTGCCGACAGATAGACAGATACATCTTTCATCAATATTATGCGTTACTAGTCTCGATAACGAGTATATCATTACAACAGGGCACTTACACATACATTTCTACACAGCAGTTGATTTATCTGTCGGCACATAAATACATACATTCATGATTCACGAGTAAATTGCTATGGAACCAGAAGTTTTCCAGACTAAATCAAGAGCCGGGAATAGTTCAAATTTTGATCATTACTGGCTTTTGAATGATTAGAAAATTTCTCTCAAAGAAATCAAGACCCAGTAACGGTTCAGATTTGAATCATCACCGGCTGGAACATTTTTCAGGCCAAAACTTTGATTATTACAGGTGCTTCTCCAAATCAAATCAAAAGCCAGGAATAGTTCAAATTTTCATCATTACTGGCCTATTCTCCCCTATAGTTGAACTAAAACAAAACGAGGAGATAAACAAGAGAGAGCTGGACAAAAAATGCGTAACGAAAAAGGAGACGATTTTCACGATTCCGGAGACGGTTTCAGCGGTGGTACTCCAACAGGAACACGTAGTAACTCAAGTACTGAAAACGCAGATGATACACAGATGGAAATTGTTAATTTAAATGAGCTTTTTCGGAACATAATGATAGAAAACAAACGTAGAGATAAAATGCCAGCCAGCTGATCACTCCATAGTCCCTGGACACTCACAAAGTCTTTCTATGTTCGTTCCTAGAAATTTTGAGAAACATCGGGAATTTTGATGGAACCCCTTCGAAGACAGTTTTGTGGTTGAACACATTGAATAGTGCGCAAACCCTACACCAAATTCCAGACAGCTACATGCTGAAAACAGCAAGAACGAGCTTAGCAGATGGAGCTAAATATTGGTATTTGACTAAGGGCCGGTTTATCAATAAAGGGTTACCCCATAAGTTAGGGATAACTCTGGGTTAAAGTTGTGACAAGTGTTTATCCATCCAGGGTCAACTGCTAACTCGAAAATTATTCCAGGAATAAGTTAACCCCCGCTCTCACGGCAAGTTAGCGTATTTGGCCCCGGGTTAACCTCAGAATTTTCTGCTATTTCTTTGTCTGCATTTTTTTGAAATATGTGGATCTCAGTGATGATGATCGAGATGTTCTAGAATAGAATTTCTAGAACATGAGCGGCAACCGGCGCCACTACTACAAAAAAGTAAGGTTATGAGCAGAAAATGCCTAAAAATCGACAAAAGTGAGCTGGCAACGTTGCATAAGTAATGGCAACCTTCAAAGAACCCGAAAGTTTACCAGCCCTGGAATAAACACTTTTCGACTTAACTATGGTTGAACCAAATCCAAACGGCAGTAAATGACAAACTGGTCATTTTCATTACAACCTATCAAATATCCTCCCTGCATGCGTATTGGTTTCAACCAATACGAAGGCTGATGTTTGTTGACAATTTAGGTTATTTAATGTCATTTACTGCCGCTTGGATTTGGAAATGGTATAGGTACATAGCCTAGGGCTAGCAAACTCTGCGAATTTTCCCTTGGTAGATAAACCGGCCCTAAGCTAAGCGTAATGAAATTTTAACATGAAAAAATTTTGTGGACAAGTTCAATGTTATATTCTACGCAGACATTGAAAGTAGGCGTCAGTAGCACTTTACTGACAGTCATAGAGGTAACTTCGATAGAACTTTGAACAAGGAAAACATGAATAATGCTCAGAAAACAAGTGAGAAGCAAAACCAGGCACCACAGACATTGAGTAATGAGACAGCTTTATACCACGACAAACTGGTGATACCAGAGTAGAGGGTCAACAGCATCTCTTCCAGATACTTACCACCTAGAAATGCTGAAGACAAGCCCCTTTGCTTCAAATGCAAGAAACATGAGCACATCTCGGAATATTGCTCCCAGAATCAACCCTCAAACCCCCTCTCCTCAAGCCACTGTCAATGAGAACAGCATAAAATCTTATGTGGACTTAGGTAGTCAATGCAATATATCCTTCACAATCCGATGTCCACAGGTGGAGGTAAATTTATCACATTTCCCTATCAAATAGCATTTAAAGGTGATAAATTTTACCTGTACCTATGGACATCGGCAGGCTTATTCTCTACTTGACAGCGACAATTGCGCAATTCTCTGCGGTTGCAAGTTACAGAATAAGGCTGCCGATTGTGAATGGATAATATGCTGAGATTATCAGATGCTGAAAACATAAAATTGAAGTATGACGAATTGGCAAGTGACATGTGATGTGGAGTAAAGAGTATAGCTAGAAATGTTGACATAACTTTAGACCATGTGCATGCTAAAACTGACATTTACATAGTATCAGACGATGTTTTAGATATGCCACTTTTGATTGGACAAACTTTCACCGAACAAGAACATATTGTGACAATACGAAGAGGCACTACACTGAGAATCTTTGAAGAAAAGAATGAAAATGAGTTGGTTCAAGTTAGTTTGAGTTAGTTTGGGTTAGTTTCAGTTAGTTTGGGTTAGTATTGGATTAGTTGCAGTTAGTTCGGGTTAGTTTGGGTTAGTTCGAGAAAAATAGCAATAGGCATAACATCGGCATATAGGACAGCAAACACATTGGCGGTAGAGGCGCTGGCAGGACTACCACCGATCGATTTAATGGTTGAAAAGCGGCAGCAGATTTATGAACGAGGACGAGACTACAAAGAGGCAGCAAAAGTGACACCTATGGAAAGGTGGCAGGAGAGATGGCAAACGTACAGTGGCTAGGCCAAAACATTTGTTAAGAACGTAGAACAATGGACCAAGAGAAGGCATCGAGAGCTGGACTACCACGTAAATGACCGGCCACGGAAGTTTCGGCACATACTTGAAAGATATCAAGAAGCGAGAAAGCGATGAGTGTTGGTATTGCGGAGATAGGGACACGCCAGACCACACGATTTTCCATTGCGCCAAGCTCAATATACATAGAACCACGGCCACAGCGATATATGGAGTGGGAGTAGGAGCTGAATATATCGCCAAACTGCTACTGAAAGACGAGGAAAGCTGGCGTGCAGTCACGAGGATGCTAAGGAAAATAATGGAGGAGAAGTGTGACGAAGAGAGAAAAAGAGAGAAGAAGGCAGAAAACAACAATAGAGAAAACAACTAAGAAGGAGGAATCTCTGAAGCAATGCTTTTCGGCAGCTGGGGACGGTAGGGGAAGGGTTTTAGTGGGTAGACACGTCCAGATGCGCACGACCAACAACAATGCATCGGGTGTGCGTAAAGCATTTCCTAATCCCTACCAAAAAAAAGGGTTATTTTGAGTTAATTTGGGTTAGTTTGAGATAGTTCAAGTAGAAAGTTCGGGTTAGTTTAGTTTGGGTAACTGTTTGAAAGATCTGAAGATACCATCGAACTATGTTGATTATATTATAGTCTATGCAGAAAATGACAAGAATCAAGACTTATTTGTAGAATGTCAAAATTTTTACAAAGATGCGTAATTCATTTACATGATCATGGACAAACTCAAAATGCCGATTATGAATATCACGAGCAGAGAAATGCAACTAGATGAACATGAAAAATTAATAAGAGCAGAGATATATCAAGAAGTGTGTTGAAGAGAAGATGAATGAAGTGCAATCAATGCAAACTCGGATGTAATCTTGAAGGACAAAAATGACCTTAGTGATTTGCTTAATCAATACATTGACTATTACGCGTTCAATTTCTCAGAATTAGGATGTTGTATCGAAGTTGCGTTTAAAATAGAGACATTAACAGACCTTCTACTTTATAGATTGAATTTTTAGTGAGAGACAGAAAGTTCACAAGATGGTAGAGGAACTTAAGAGCGTAGGTATCGTTATTGACTCGAATTCGGACTACTCTAGCTCTATTTTAGTGGTACGTGAAAAGACGGGTGATGAAGGACTCTGTATCGACTATCGCGATTTATATGGGATCACTAAAAAGATAAACTACCCGCTACTAGATCGTTTATTCGGTATGAAATATTTTACCATCAAATTCCGGTAGAAAAAGACTCACAGGGTAAAACCGCGTTCGCGACGCCAGACGGTTTGTTTGAATTTACGCGCATGCCCTTTGGGGTTGTTAATGGACCGGCAGTATTTCAAAAATTATTAAATAGTGTACTCGGACCTTTGCATTATACCATATATGGATGACCTGTTTTCACCGGCAACCGGCAAGCATTCGACCAGTTGAAGAAAGAGCTTCTGATGTTTTGGCATTACATAAGTCCGGAGCGTACACAGAACTACACACAAATGCCAGCCTAATTGAATTTCGCGGTATGATTCTTCAGAGACAGGCAGATGATCTGATGCACCCTGTAGTATATGTGAGTAGACCCGAAGAACAGAAATATCACTCATCAGAATTAGAAACTTTGTACTTAGTTTGGGTATTGAAGTTATAGACTTTGCATGTATTACAGATTGCAATGCATTGAGAAGTTCATTGACTAAAAAGCATAGATTTGACGTAATACATGCGACCTGCGACAAAAATGGCGCATGTAGATGCATTGTCAGGCACTCCGATTGGTAAGACAGAAGAAACAGATTGCTGAGATGGTTTTTAGTATTGATAAACACCCTCGAAGAAGGTTATATTTATATCAGAAAGAAGATCCAAAACTTGAGAATATTATGGAGGTATTAGCCAAAAAGTCGAAGATTACTAAAGAAGAGAAGATAATAGGAAATGAGTATGAGATTAGAGATGGTCCAAATGCTGCGGATAAAGAACTGCAGTTTGGGATTTACCAATGTTGGTAAAGATCACTGGAACATGGCACTGGCACATAAATTCTTACTCAGTAGTTCTTCGTGTGCCGACAGATATTTATAATCTAAGATCTTGATATGCGTAATTAGGTACTGCTTTATTTTCATTACGAAGCAAATAGTGTCAGCGATCAAACGACTAGTAAACTATAGTAGGATAGTAGGTTCGGTAAATTTGTGCGAGTAAAAAGATGTTAAAGTTTGTTTTTTATTTAAAGATAATTCCCCAAGTCAAAAATTTAGTAACTATGTTGGCAGCACAAGCCTTTTATACATAAAAAATTTGAAAGCATTGACAATTTTACATTGTATTGCCAACATAATGTCATTTTGACTTTTATCTTTAAAAAAAAAACAGACTTTAGGTCCGCGTGATCCGTTTCGAAACTTTAAATGGAAGATCACGCGGGCTTCTGCCAAACAGTGTCATTATTTTTGAGCTCCCGAACTCACCTACTTAGAACAGAAAAAACTTGTTTAAGTTTAATGTATCATCATATATTATTTATTCAAAAAAGTTGAGCGCCATCTAGGGGTGTTTTTTCAGATATTTTTGAGTCAAAAATTGTGGTTCTATTTTTCTTTAGGCTCTTTAGAAAACATGCGATTACTCTCTCTCAGCTCTAATATAATCATATTATTATTCTGAATTTTCTCGTAAAAAAATCATCAAAAACTACAATATTGTAGGTAGGTACCTATTTTAAACTTTTTTTTTTGACATTTGGGAGCTCAGTAAAACAAAAATTTGAGCAAATGTCAAATTTTATAGAGAGCTGTTCAAATTATGTTGAAATTTTTTACAGCAAAAAAAAATTACATATACATACTTGAATAGTAACCATGCCCTAATTTAAATTCCATCCGACCCCTTCTAAAAACCAGCGCAAGGCCATCCACAAATCCCAATAACAAAATAGAGCATATAGAGTGTGCTCTAATTGGCCCTATATACAATACTACACAGAGTCCTTACCTCAATCCATTGAACAACTGCTTGGATTTTTCCAGCAGGTGCACAAACTCGACGACGATTTTCCTTTCGTGATCCTCCATCGCGGCCGCCATCCTGACCATTTTCCCCTGCTGTTTCACAATGGCGACGTCATCGAAAAAACGCCGCGACGTCTTTAGCGTCGCCGTCGCGACGCTCCCGTCTAACCGCGTCGTCTAAAAATCGAACGGCCGACATTGCGGCTCTATTCTGAAATTTTGTCGTAGTAGAGTGTAATAGAGGCGAAACGGTGGCGACCTCTTTAAGGAGTTTCGTTACTGTTTGAGACAAAAAAAAGGACGCGGGCGTCGATTTTGTGCGCAAAACGCATAGGGGTTGCGTTTTTTCTTTTAAGCCTCAACCTATTGTATTCAAAACTAAATGCAAATTAGTGAGTTTAAGCTTGAAAAAAGAAATTGTTCCTATTATTTCACAAAAAAACCGCATTACTCATGAAAAAGTTCAACAGTGCCATCTATACGCTAAAAATAAAACTCCTCATTAGTCAATAAATTTACTTTGTGTTTCAATGCAATAGATGGCGCGCTATTTATTTTTGAGATTCAAATCAATAACGAATTGTGGTCTTAGTTGAATTATTAGGAATTAGGATTTAAGGCAATCCAAACCACGTGATATTCAAGATGGCGTGGCGGTCACACATGGACTAAACTTCATTTTTCAGTCGTGTGCTGTCTGCTGTTTTTTCGGAGTTTCAGAGTTCTATGTTCTATGCAAATCTGAACCAAACATACGTCCCAGCAGAATGGATCTATATGACGATTAGTTCCAATTTCGGATGTTCATTGAAGAATAAACAACTGCAAATTTTAAATTACTTTTATTGTCAACAATCACAAACAAAACATCTATTTATTTATAACAAAAACCCTTATTGCAAAAAAAAAACAAACAACAAATATCATATCACACTCCAAAATTTGGACTAATTACATTTTTGGTGGCTTAAAATCCAGAAACTTCATCGAAATCTTTTTCAAATTCCGTCTTCTCTACCATATATTTGGGCAAAGTAGTACCAAAAAGTTTACTATAAGTAGGCTTAGTTTCGTGGCTGTAAGCCCCTTCTTCATCTCCAACTTCAACTTCCGGAGGAGTTGGAGTTTCAGTTTCAGTTTGCTCACTTGCTTCTTTTTGAGGTGCGTCTTCTAATCTTTCAGCATCAGGTGCACTAGCTGAAGCCTTCAAATCAAACGGCACAATGGTTTGGTATTTATTTGAAGCTGCAGGATTTAATTCTGAAGTGGCAACTTTTTTGAAAAATTTCTTCCTCTTAGGAGTTACAGCTGCTTCAACCTTTTTAGATTCTTCAGTTTCTTCTTCGGGGTTGTTGTTTTTTGGGTCTTTAAGTCTTTGAACTTCGTGGTAAGCGATATGGGTTGGTTTTGGTTTGCTTTCGGCAATGTACATGCACTCTTCGTGTTGGACTTTATTTTTGTCAACGCATAAGAAGCATGTCATTCCGTTTTTGACTGCTTTTTTACAGTTGGAGCGGTCTTTTTTGGCAAACTCAGCTAGAACTTCTTCAACGTCTTGTTGTTTTTGTTCGGTGGCATCAGTTTTTTGTTCTTCTTCTTCATCTGCTTCTTCTTTGTTGTTTAATTCAGGGAAGAGTTTGTAGTGGTATTCGTCAAAGTTTTCTTCATTATTATTATTGTCTTCTGTGGTTTTTTTGTTACTTACACTTTCGGCAAAGTGTTCAGGTACGTTGTAAGGGTCATCGTTGATGAGTGCTTTTTCTTTTTTAAGCTCTTGGTAATTGAATGCAGGTGCCTCACTTTCATCATCATCATCAGATTCTTCTTTTTCTTCTTCATCATTTTCTACTTCAGTTTCTTCAACAGTTGAAGCAGCAACTTCTAACTCATCAGGTTTAGCAGTAGAAGCTTCTTCAGAACTTTGTTTTGTTACAGTTTTGGTTTCTTCTGGCTCATCATCTTCGCTATCATACTTTTTCTCGGCTACATAAGCGTATTTGTTTTCTTTAGGAGCCGAAGTATAGGAGCACTGTTCGAAATTACCTCCAGTTTTAGGGTCTTTGCAAACAGTACAAGTCATGCCTTTGCGGTCAACTTTTTTACAAGCGCCTGGTTGTTTTAAGATTTCGGAACTTTGACTCTCTGAGTAACTTTCGTATTCTTCAGGCTGGTAAGGTTTGTAGTGGAAGTCCTTTTGACGTTCGCTTTCGGCTGCTTGTTGTTCCTTGTCGTAGTCTTCGAAATATTTCCTGTTCCTTTGGGAAACTTGGAAATAGGGATCGTCGCTGTACTTACCTTTGCGTGGACTTCTTTTGTGTCTGAAACCAATTGGAGCCTTTACAGGTGAAGAGTATCTTATGGAACTTCCTGCAAATTCATTTACAGGTTCCTCGCTGGATTTGTAGGAACATTGAGTGTATTTGGATTTGTTTGGGGCGTCTTCGCATACGAAGCAGTTCATGTTTTCGGCGTTTTCTGGACTATGGATTTTTCTGCAGTCTGAAAAATAATTCAATATTGAGTTGAAGATAATGTATTGTCTATGTGAACATATTCTTATGAAATTGTGGCGACCCTAAAAATTTCGAGGTGCTAAAATCCCAGAAAATATAACTAAATTCAATTGGTGAAAGCATTTTTCTAGTCATTTTAATTAGAAAAGTACCTACGTCAGTTGCAAGATAATTTAATTTCAACTTATTAAATCTCTTAGCAATCCAGCATCTAATTCCATATAAAAATGACGAAATTTCTATGCTCAACTCAAATTACATAACCATTTTTTTCCAACACAAGCGATAAGCGACCGGATGTCAGAGTTAAATGTCCCCAATCAATAGACTCTTGTGACATTCCGACAAAAAAAAAGACAATAAAAAACTATAAAATTAGGATGCGTTTAACCGGAAATCACTATACTCATGTGATTTAATTGCGTCATAATTGATAAACTACAACACCGGTGTTTACGCCGGATGTTGCATCATATCCTTAGTAAAATCTTTAAAAAAAAAAAACAATTCTTGAAAAACAACAATGTCGTTTATCACTCGATAAACGAGGTCAAATAAGAGGATTGGTTCGAGAAATGCTAAATGACCGCCCACGTAACAGATTTTTGGTGGGAATTGAGTAATATTTAAGCAGGTTATTATCTGGTATAGCGTTGCTTATCTGTCTCGATTTTTGAATAAACCCACTTTATGTGCATGGAAAGCAGCTAAGAGAATTCTTCGGTATCTTAAGCTGTACTATTGACTATGGACTAACGTTTACCAGATTGGACAATGAACTTATAGGTGTATGTGATGCTGATTGAGGAGGTGATGATTATCATACTCGCAAAAGTATAAGTGGATTTGTATGTTTTCATGGAAAGAATCCAATAGCCTGATATTCAAGAAAACAGAATTGTGTCGCAGAGTAAATTTCTGCAGAACTAGCAGCACAAGAACTTGTTAAACTTAAGGGTGTTCTTAGTGACTTCACAGGTATGTGTGGATCAGTGATTTAGAAATTAGTCAAGTTCCATATCTATGATAAAGAACTGTGACAATTCTAAGCGTAGCAAACATATAGATATAAAATATCATTTTATCACAGATCTATATTTGAAAGGAGTTATATTATTTGAAATAAGGAAATATTAAATATAGTGGAGGAATTCTTCAAACTCCTTTACAAAAGTCAATATAACGAAGAATATCCTGAACCCGAAATCCTGACATCGAGATGGGGCATTATCAACCAAGGATCAGAAGAGCTTCCTGATATTACAATAGAGGTAATAGAATTAGCATTAATAAACAGAAAAATAATAAAGCACAATAAAGTTACAGACGCAATAAAAATAGGAGGCCAACATCTACTGCTAAAAATAATAGAACTTTCTAACCTCTGTCTATTTAATAGTAAAGTCTCCAAAAATTGGCATAATTCCATTGTAATCCTGCTTCACAAAAAAGGAGATATAGCAGAGCTAGAGAACTACCGACCAATAAGCCTCTTAGGTCACTTTTACAAACTGTTTACTCGAATTATAACCACCCGACTGGAAAATAAATTGGATTTCTACCAACCTGTAGAACAGGAAAGTTTTCGTTGTGGATTTGGAACCAATGATCACCCTTCAGGCGTCAAAACACTAATAAAAAAGACAATGGAATACGACATTCGTGGACTTCCACAAAGCCTTCGACACAATAGAGCTAAATGCAGTGTGGAATGCACTCCAGGAATGTAGAATCGTCTACCGATATACCAAACTCATCCACAATATCTATGAAAATGCAACAATAACGATAAAACTACATGAAAATACCAACCTCATAACTATTGAACGTGGTATTCGGCAAGGCGACACGATGTCACCAAAACTGTTCATTACAGTCATGGAGAGTGCATTAAAACAATTGGACTGAAGTCAGAAAAGTATAAACATAGATGGCAAGAACGTTTTGCAGATGATATAGTGCTATTCTCGGAAAATCTAGAAGAAATGCGACTGATGTTGCAGGATCTGTGGAAAAGTCGGTCTCAATATCAATATGTCAAAAACAAAATTCATAACAAACCTTGTTCCTAGCTGTGGCTTGAAGATTGACGGAGCTGAAATTCAAATGGTAAATAGATATGTGTACCTTGGCCACGAAGTCAGCATCTCAAGGAATAACCAGACATGCGAACTAAAGAGAAGACTCACACTCTGTCATGGCCAATTAAAGACGTTTTCAAGAGTGACTTTTCCGTCAATCTATAAAAAAGGGTTTTCGATCGATGAATGCTACCAGTAATGACATATGGCTCAAAAACCCTAACACTCGCAACAGCAACAGCAAAGAAACTCAGAGTTACACAGAGGAAGATGGAGAGATCCATGCTTGGTGTGACCTTGAAGGACCACATAAGAAACGAGGATCAGCGATGTCGTTGGAGCTATTGCGAAGCTTAAGTGAAACTGGGCTGGCCACGTTGCACGGATGCGGGATGATCGATAGAGTCAAGCATCATTTTGCTGCAGTTTGTATGAAAAAGGATGAGACAAAGAAAAAGCCAAGGAAAAAAGTGTATGAGGTGAAAGAAGAATGTGAAACCAGTGAGGACAGTGATGACAATAGTGCCAGCTCAGGAAATAGTGAGTTCTTCGTAAGCTCCATAACAAAGAATGTATGCTCAGTAGAAGAACTCCAATCCAAGGTATGTGTGGAAGGTACTGTGTTAGAGTTTAAGTTGGATACAGGTGCTGAAGTTAGCATTATTCCTGTATATTTTCTTCAAACAAAAAAGCAATTAAAAAACACCAATGTCACACTTATATCTTATGGTAGTTCTGAATTTAGTATTAAGCCTATTGGAAAAATATCACTTGAGTGTTCAGTTGAAAAACAAGTGGCTGTAATTGACTTTTTAGTAGTTGATGGTAAAAATCAAATGGCCCTCTTAGGCTTGAGTGCAAGCATCAAACTAAATCTTGTGCAGCGTGTCAATAATGTTAACTTGTCATTTGATAACATTAATAATATGGTTTCTGAGTATCCTGAAGTTTTTTCTGGTTTGGCGTAATTTCCGAAAAAATATAAAATCATTTTAAAAGAAAATATAGTGCCACACATTAAGGCGAGTGCCACAGGCTATTCATGAAAAGCTTAAAAACAAGCTAGATGAACTTCAGGCATCGAATGTTATTCAAAATGTCGAAAAGCCTACAGACTGGAAAAAAAAATGGTGATTAAAGGATATGCCTTCGTCCAAAATGTTTAAATCAAGCTATTAAAAAAAACCATTTTTAATTCCCACTGCAGATGAGATTGCAAGCAAGTTAAATAATAAAAAATACTTTACGGTATTCGACATGAAGGACGGGTACTTTCAGGTCATTTTAGATAAACAATCATCAGATTACTGTGCATTTGCAACTCCATTTGGGAGATTTAAATTTTGTCGCATGCCATTTGGCATAAGCTCAGCACCTGAGGTTTTTCAAAAATTAAATTATGAGCTATTTGCATAAATCAAAGGGGTTGAAATTTATTTCGATGATCTCATCATCACAGGTTCATCTGAATCGGAACATGACCAAAATTTGTTGAGCCTTGTAGTGATTAAATATATAAAAGCCATAGTAAATATGCCAACGTCGCAAAATAAATAAGAATTATTAAGAGTATTGGGTATGGCTAAGTTATTTAAATAAATTTATACCAAATTTGTCAAAAATATCTGCACCATTGCGAAATTTAACTCGTAATGATGTAGACATTTTTTAATCCTAGCGTCCCCATTGAAATAGAGACAGATGCCTCAAAAGATGGGCTTGGCACTTATTTGTTGCAAAATGGACACCCGGTGGCATATGCAGAAGCTTATCTAGTGCAGAAGTTAAATACGCTCAGATAGAGAAAGAGCTTCTAGGTTTTCAGCTGCCAGAAATTTCATTATTTGATATATATGGAACATGTTGTCCATTTAGGGTCCAGGCATTAGCCAATCTCAGCTAATATCAGAGAAGAATTTAGGAAAGCTTATGAAAGTTACACAGCATTGCAAACTATAATTGGTTAAATGACATCAGATTGGCCTTCACACAGGCAAACTGTACCTGAATTCATACGCCACTATTACAAAATTAAAGATTTTTTATATTTGTCCGAGTCATTCCTATTTTTCAATTACAGGCTAATAGTGCCACATAGTCTTAGACATAAAATGTTCTTAAAACTTCATGAAGGCCATATTGGTATGGAAAAGTTAAAAAGGCGAACTAGAGAAATTTTCTACTAGTCAGGACGAGGTGAATGCAAAAATTAATATATTTCAATCAGATTTTGCTCAGGTTTGAACGGAGATATTTCAATTTTTATAGATTTATTTTACCGTAAGGGTCAATGGATTTGAAGAGGAGTGACAATGATATTCAAATTACCCAGAAAAAAATTAATAAAAGGCTATTAGAAGAATTAACAATGGATGAGACTCGGTCATTTGCCACTCCAATCGAAGACAATTTTCAAATGGATGTAAATACTACAACAGTGGTAGATAATGTTCCATAGGTATCAATGATTGGTATGTAGTTCAATGTATCTATCTTTAGTGACCAGACCTGATATACCGTTTCTTATCTGTCCCGAATTTTAGATAAACCCACTTCATGTACAGGGTGTCAAGTTATAAAGTACCAACCCCTGTAACTTTTTTATGTTTGATCATATATCATACATGAAAAAGTTATAGGGGGTGGTACTTTATAACTTGACACCCGGTAAATGGAAAGTAGCTTAGAGAATTCTTCGGTATCTAATCTGTACTATTTGACTATGGACTGTGTTATACATAGTATTTAGTATTAGTAATGTTTGGGTAAATCCATCTTAACGTAGAATTGTGTTAGTTACTGGTGTCATTGGTGGTCGATTGACTAGGAACTAGGAATCAATATAAAAGCCTTTGTTATAACTACCATCGTGTTTATTTTGGATATAAATAATACATGGTGTCAG